TCTCCTTTTGCTGGGAATTAACAAAAGGCTGCTAAAACTCAGCTTTTATCATGCCACACCAGATCCCACTTTCCCCAAACAAACACTTTATTAATGTAATACTATAGCAATATGGCAGCTACAGTATTACACCACCCAAAACTGCCAAACCAAACAAGCCCTTAATCCATTCAGTTGCAATTGTTACTCTAGATTGAAATAACTTAAGAATTAAGGACCTAAAGCAATTTCAATGATTTTAGGAACTTATTTCAAAATATGGAATATTTAAAGGACTAATACCCAAAAAAATGTTTCTAAGATATAGTAAATAATTTTGCTTTTTTATAACGAGAGTGTATTTAATAGTGGATATTTGGAGGGGGGTTCAAAAAATATAGAATTTTCTAGAAGAAATAAAGAGAAAAGAAAAAAAGAGAGAAACAAATCATCCCTTATAAAATTAAAACGTTACCCTTCTAGTTACAGTAGAAAGGAAGACATGTACTCCAATCTGTCAAAATTGTGATTCCCCTTCGTTGGTTTTTAATATAGTAGTATAGATTAAGGGTCTTTCTGATATCCATCCTTGAAATTGTGAATATTTGAAAAGAAAATCCTACAGGAAGTCTAAATTTGAAATAAAATTTCCAATTTGTTTAAGTGAGAACAAAAATTTTGATCCATCCTATTTCATCATTCAATTTCCATCTGCCCCAGAACATTTTGAAGCATATAGCCCCCTTGCTCCCTCAGGCACATTTGACCGTGTGACATAAATAAAAAGTTTCATCTTTTTAAACAAGTTATACTTGCATGCTTAACCGGATGCAAGATGCATGTTCCAACAAGTCAATCAAATGTTTAGGTTGACATCTAAATACCCACCTACAAATATTCAAATCTATTGCATTGTATCAGTCTTCACTGAGTGAAATTTTTCATAGAAAATGAAGTACTTTTAAAATTCTATTTCCAACTAAGTAGACATCTATAACTCTAGTAGAAATTAACACCTCTCAACTAATATTAGCACTTAGCAACCCCAGGATTTCCATTGTCAGAAGAATAAATTTGCATATATCACCCGACTCCCTCATGAATAAAGGGAAGCTGAGTGCTAATAAATTAATTGATGGGTGTAAACTGTTAAGTGCTACTAAAGGTATAGATAAGGGTGTGAGAGACTCTACTCAAAAAATTGTAAGAGATTGGATTATAAGTAAAATTGATTCGTCATGTTATTTTAATAGTAATAACAAATGTACATAATTACTGTCCGTAAGCGGCCTAGTGGTTGGGGCTTGGGGCATTGGCTCAAAAGGCCAAGGGTAGATCAATATCTATGACATTGTCTACCTATAACTTATAATTATTAGGCATGACAACACTAGTGCTATTCACCTGGGCTTGGACTCAAGGAGGAGCCATGACTCAGGGTTTACTTGGGTAGTACTAAGCCAAAGTTCCTCACACCAAAAAAATACAACACAATTAACACAAGTTATACAACTGTTTGAGTATACATTTCAGCTATCTGACTATTCAGGATGTCGTCTCACAATACTGGGGCCCGCATGGTGACATCCACATGAAAGGTTTTCCATCCTCTCCACTACTATCAGAAAGTAATGGTGACACCACTACTTTGATTCATAACCATCTATCTATAATTTAGTGGACAGTTTATAATTCATTCAAAAATTAACCGCTTAATATATTCACATGTATTGCACTCATTCATACTTTTCACTGGAAAAAAATCAAAAACTTCCATTAAAAAAATGGTAAACATAAAGAACAACCAAATATTTTGACCCATTTGAGATAATCCCAACAAAGTTCAGAAATGTTACTATCCCCAAAAGCTTCTCAGATAGCCCCCAAAAGTTTCTGAAAATAGATTGAGAAAAATGCAAAAGTTTTGGGGTTTTAAAGGTTACATTTCCAAACTTTTTGGGGTTACCCAGAATACGGCAAACTTCTCGGTGGTTTTTGTAAAATTAATCCTTCATCACAATCCCAGACTAGATTCGCATAACCAAAATCGCCAAACTCCACCGACCACAGTTACACAAATTTCAACTGAAAACGCGAGGGGGGAAAAATTAAAATTTTACTAACTTACAAGAAGAGTGAAGCCGGTGACGCTAGTGAGGGAGGAGGCGATAGAGGCACCCGCGAGTGAGAGCTCCCCCAGATGACCCGCCATCATAATAGACACCACCTGAACCAAGTACTGGCTTAGAGTCACCGCCACCATCGGCAACGCCACCCTCCCGAGCCTACCACCCTCCTCCTTAAACTCACCGCCCCACGTTCCCGTCACCGCTCTTATAGCCCTCGTACTTTCCTCTTTTAGCAACAAGCCCTCTTCCATTGTTTTTTTTTTTTCTATTTTGCGAAAATTTGAAAGGGTTTATGAATGGGTTTTTTCGAGGGGGACGAGGGGTTTAAATAGCCTTGTGAATGGCGACGTTTTCGGTGGCTTGAAGGCAAATGTAGCATACTAATATTGTGATAGGCCAATAAATGCGGGTTTTATAGATATACCCCTAAAATCTGTTGTAATTGTAGGTTCGTTTTCAAATTTGCATTTACTAGTTTTGCTACCACACCTTGGGTTTTTATCTCTCATTTGACAACTTTTTGCTATCCACTTAAGTTAACACAAGAATTGCTCTAGTAAAGAGAATAAATTTGGAGGTATATTGACAAAAAAAAATTTTGTTAGGAGAGAGAGAGAGAGGGCATTTTTTCATTTATACCTTCTCAGTTTAAAATGTAAAAATGTTAAATGAAATAAGATATTTTAATTCAATGATAAAGAATGGAGGGATGATAGCAAGTATAATCAGATTATTGAAGATAAACATGATAGATGTGGAGTGTGCATTAGTAAAAAGTGTTATGAATAAATTTGTTATGGGGTTTTTTGAGTTCTGGTACCTAAGAACTTGTTATTCACGTATTAATATTTTCTTTAACAATAAAGCTGATAGTAACGATTTTTATATTTATGCACATTAACAATTACAAAATGCATGCAAATAGCATTTGTTAAAGTTGTGCTTTAACTATTTCACCAACTACAATAGTTTTACATTCCAGATTTATTCATTTGATCTCGCTTCAAAGTTCACGAATTGTGGAATTTTATTTTTTATATGGATACAACTATATTTATTATCACAATATCTTCTAACCAAACACATTCTAATAGGTAATAAGATTTGCACATCGGTTCTTATTGTTGGGATTTTGTCTTTGATTCTTTGTGTAACTTCATGAGAATTAGATAGGGTTAGAGTTCTATCATGATTAGGAGTTTGGGTTCTATCATGATTAGGAGTTTGAGTTTTATCATGGTTAGGAGTTTGGGTTTTATCATGATTAGGAGTTTGTATCCTATTCTAATTAGGAAGTTAGGCTAGAGATAGGGTTTTGGTTTTCCTATATATATTCTTCTATTGATGGAGGAAAAACCATGATGAGAGAGAGATCCGTAGTCTTTATCCGTGCAAAAGATGACAAGGAGTAGGCTTTGGAGAGAATATGAGAGTTGATTATGTATGTGAGGTTGAGAGATTGAGAGACGAGAGTTGAGTGGTTTCTCTTGTAGTTCTCCCTGATACATAGTGAATTTCTCGTATTGTTACCCCGTGGACGTAGGTCGAAGTTGGTCGACCGAACCACGTAAATTTCAGTGTTCTTTTTCTTGATTGTGGTTGTTCTATCTTATTGATTAGGGTTGGCTTCCGAGTTGCGCATATCGTGGTAGGCGGGGAGACTGAAATTCCCCAACACTTATTTCTGTCTATTTTTCATGTTACTTATATTACCCTAAAAAAACCTATATCTATTATTAAGTCTCTAATTAAGCAAACCATATAATTTCAAGGTAAACATAGATATCAGTATTTCCTGACAATGTTAGCATGCAAAGAGAAAATTGTTATAGGTGTAGTAATGTAAAATTGTTTAGTTGGTAATTTAATATGGTTGGCTCCCACCTACAGTTAAGGTTCGATAATCCATATTATTAGACCACAGAAATCAGTCATGTTATAATGTTTACGAATGATTTGGACGGCCATCAAACAGCCAGCAATTACAAGGGAAATTCATAATTGAACAATTATAAGTTGAAATTAGATCAATAAGCTAGAAGAAAGAGCGCAAAAGGACAATTTATGCCCTCTCGCCTTTGGTATTTCTTAAACAAAAATAGTACACCATAAAACAAAGGAGAGCAAGAGCACACTGAATCATGCATACATGTGAACCAAACAGTCAAGAACTTTCCCTGTTTTGTTCCATACTCTGATGACACTGGAATTTTTTTGTCACGTACTGAACTTATCATATGTCTACATTATTACAAGGGCTGCTCCCCCGTCCCCTTCCAGGCAAGCGTTTCTATTTAGGTTTGATTTAGTAGGAGAGGATGTAGAGTGAGAGCAGGCATAAAACTAATTAAAATCCTTTTTGACAGGAGGTTTTTAGAGAGAAAGATGAGGTGGGGTGGAGCGTGGTGTAGAGAGAGAAAGCAAAAAATGACCTAGCCCCCTTTTTTAAAGGAGAATTTTTTGAAAAAGATCTTTTCTAGAAAATAATTAGCAAAATCATTCTCTAAATACATGAGACTATTAATCTCGCGTAATTAGCAATTGCTAATTACGAAAGTGATTAAAATCCAGAATATACACAGGACTATCAGCCCTGTGTATCATGCAAAAACACTCAGAAAATGCACGAGGCTAGTAGTCTCGTGTATATTCTAGATATGCACAAAATATGCATGCACGTTTGTAGCTTATCTCCTATACATATACAATATCTCCTATGCATATAAAACTTTAAATTCACCTCATGTACATATCCAAATATTATAGTTTCCATAAACATATAAATTCCATAAATTCATGTACATAACTTTATACACATTTTATACATACGAGAACATCTCACCAAAAAGCATTTGATAAACACATCATAAATTATCTCCACACACCAAAACATCGTAACAAAATCAAATATATTAAGTGTACTGGTTTACAAATAACCCTTATGATAACTTAAATAGAGTTAATACAAAAAGTTCATAAACTGATCCCATACAACCTAGAAGACTGCCCCTTCTTCTTTATCTCTCTCTACTTACCCGCTCAAATTGTCATCGTTCTCCAAGAACTTGAGCTTGCACGAGTTCGTTGTCTGGTTGCATGTGTGGTTGTGACGATCCAACTTCATCATTATTCTTGCAAGATCCTTCTCGTCTCTATCAATTTAATCATCTCCATCATTCTTGATAGTCCTGTGTATTTCCATTGGGGTCAACTTAAAGTCTCTGATATTTACACACAACTATTAACCTCATGTATTTAAATGAAGTAGTTTGGTCAATGATTAGCATTTGCTAATTACATGGACTTCTGGTCTCATGTGTTTCAAAAATGATTTTTTACAAAATCGACCTATTTTTGGTTAATTAGACCGGATGACTTTACCAAAAAGAGGTTAGTTTTGCTTATTATTTAGCAAAAAGATCATTTTTACTAATTATTTTTCAAAAAAGGTCTTTTAAAAAATTCTCCTTTTTTAATTACCCACCTCATAAATCAGCATCATCCATAAAAAGTGTAGGATTTTTTGCATGTAATCCCTCATTCTTTATTAATTTAAAATTAGTCCATCAAATCTTTTAAATTAGCGCCTAGGTTCCCGAATTCTTAAAGGTGTTGGATGTTCCAAATTAACCCTTGGAGTAGGAATATCAAGACTAATGGAATGAGGTAAATAAAAATTTCAATAGTTTGAGGGGCTAATTTAATATTAGATACTTAAAATCATAAAAACTCTTATCGTGAATTTCGCACTTGTTCTAAACCACGTTATATCTGTGTGCTTGGAATGTTTTTCTATGTGATGTTCATCTTTCTGCAACATGAGTATATTTTTTATTCTTTATTTTGGAGTTTGACATAGTTAAAAGTAAATTAAACATAATTTTATGAATATTAATATAATTATATTAAATTAAAAAAGAAAAGAAATAAAAATAAAACTATATATCAAGTTGCGATCCGTGCACCATGGGGACTTGGTCAGATCCGGCCTGGATCTATACAATTCGTGGCCCGAGATTTCTGGACTCCCAAACTTGAGACTAGGGATGTCCAAAAAGCCCGTGGTCCGGGTTTTGCCCGGACACCTGGGCCAGATTCGAGCTCAGGTCCGGACCCGCGATAACATAACCAGTTCGGACCCGGGCCTGGCCCGGAACAGTGCTGGTGGGGGGGGCCAAAAAAAGCCCAAAAACCGGACGGGCGGCTCGGGCCCGGACGCCAGCCGCGCAACGGTCCATCGGGTCGGCCCAACCCGGCACCAACGGTCACCTCTGGTGACCGTTGGGCATAATTGCCCGGCCCGGCCCGGTCAAAAATGACTGTTTTGGCTGGGCCGGGCCGGGCCGACCAAAACGTGTGTTTTGACTATTTTCCCCCTAAAAACGGTCAAAAAACGGTTTAGAATACGAGTGTTTTTTGGTCATTTGCCTAAGAGGTTGCCTCTATAAATAAAGGGGGGTTTTCACTTATTCTCCTCACACCAAAACTCATATACTTCTCTCTAATATTCTCTTATACAATCTTATACTCTCTTATATTTTCTAATACTTCCATCAAATGACTTCTGAATCTAATTATGAAGCATAAAACCTATCTCCTACCGATCTAGAAATGAGTCCTCCTACAACAACTACTCCTCATACCGGTGTTAATCCTGAATCTGGTGGCGACAAATTTGCACCAAGAACTCCTAAAAGACCGAGATCCGATGTGTGGAATTTTTTTTAGAAGATAGACGTCGCCAAGAATGAACACGGTAGGATCATCACCCAAAATGCTAAATGTGCGTTGTGCGGCCAGACTTTCCAAGCTCATCATAAGAGCGGCACCAACCACCTCAAACGCCATATAGAAAAACACAACAAATACCAGAATTCTCAAGGTGATATCTGACAATCTATGATTTCCCAATCCTCCTCTTCTGGTAGTCTCGGTAGTTAGAATTATGACGCTGCCCAAGCCAGGAAATGCGTAATCAAGTTTATCGTTCTTAAAAACTTTCCTTTTAAATTAATAGAAGATGATGAATTTGAAGATTTGTTTAGAGATGGTTTTTATCCCGCATTTATAAAATTTTCTCGTCAAACCTATCAACGTGATATTTTAAAATATTATCAGGAGGAACAAGAAAAAATAATTTCTTATTTTAAAAATTTAAACTGTAAATTTTTTTTAACTTCTGATATTTGGACATCTAGAGTGCAAACTGGTTATTTATGTATCACAGCACACTGGATTGATAAAAATTAACAAATGTTTAAAAGAGTTATTTTTTTTATTATAATTGAAGAGTCACATACTGGTATTAATATTACAAATTTAATAATTGAAGAACTTATAAAACTAAAAATTGATCAAAGAATAGTTTCTCTTTCACTAGATAATGCAAGTAATAACAATGTAGCTGTTGATTTTATCAAAACAACTCTGTCATTACCATATCATGGTGAACTTTTTTATGTTAGATGTATCTGTCATATTATAAATTTAATTGTTCAAAGTGCATTTTCTGAAATTAAACCCATGATAGAAAAGGTTAGAACAGTTGTTAATATGCATAATGCTTCAGAAATGAGAATTAAAAGATGGAATCAATGTTGTAAAATAAAAAATTATAAGCCCAGACTAATTCCAAAAGATGTTGACCATATGTGGAATTCCACCTATACAATGTTAAGTGTAGCAATAGAATATAAAGAAATTATAAATGATTTTATAAATTTTTATGCTTTTAGTTCAAGCTCTGGTAGTTCTTATAGAATAACTAAAAATGAATGGACAATTATATGTAATTTAAATGAGATGTTACAAGTCTTTTATGATGCTACAATGTTATTATTTGGCTGTTATTATCCAACAATTATTTTAGCTGCTTTACAAATTTTAAATATTCAATTTTTTTTTGCCAAATATCGTATGGATGATACTTTTGGAGCTATAAATTTTCAAATAAAGAGCAAATTTAATAAGTATTTTAGGCATATTCCTCATATTTTTAGTTTGGGGTTCTTATTGATCCATGTTTGAAGGATATTAGCCTTCGAAGTTTGTTACAATCATTATATGGTGGACAGATTATAGACTTAGATGATGGATCCACCCTTACAATCATTATATGGTGGACAGATTATAGACTTAGATGATGGATCCACCCTTACTGCTACTTCTCATCATTTAGCTATTAAGATTATAGACTTAGATGATGGATCCACCCTTACTGCTACTTCTCATCATTTAGCTATTAGAAATTATTGTCAAACATTATATGATGAGTATGCAGTTAGATATGGTGTAGCGGCACAACAGTCTACAGCTTCGGCGTCTTCGAGCACAGACCGAGGTAAAAGTGTAAGTTTTGATAGGTATGCAATGATAACTGAACTAACTGGTGAATCTGAACTTGGATCAGCATTAGAGGTTTCTGAAATAGATGAATATTTATCTGCTTCCTTAGTTAAATGTCAATGAAATGCTTTAGATATTTTGCAATGGTGGAGAGAATATGGATCAGTTTCATATCCTATACTTTCCACCATGGTTTGTGACTTACTAATAGTGCAGGTTTTGACGGTAGCTTCGGAATCCGCCTTCAACATAGCAAGACGTTTGACCGACGACCACAGGACATGTTTAGGATCCGTATACTGTACAAGTGGTGATGTGTTTACAAGATTGGTGGAGGTACGAGAAGCGAACGCAAGATATCGATCAGATGGCTATAATTTAAGATAAATTTAAAGATTTGGACTAGCATATAGGTATAAAGATTAGATAATATTCATCAAATTATAATTTTTATTTTTTAGCTTTAAATTTGTAATGAATTATTTCGAAAAAAGTTACCAATGATAGTGATATAGGTGTTCGCGGGAAAAATCGTGTCTTTCTTCATTGATATCATTGCCATCTTAGTTAACAACTTTATGCGTTACAAAGATCCGGTCTTTTTATAAGATCCGGTTACAATGAAAATCAAAATACAAAAAAAGAAAGATTACAATTTATTTCCTTTTATGTCGAACGAATCGCGAGCTCCTGTTTTGCGGTCACTCGCTTTGTGTGGGTTCTTTGCCTGCGCCGGGGTTATTTGCCGTGGACCACCGCGTGATCTCGATCCGGTCGGATCTACACGATATGACGGGTATTATCTCACGAAGGAAATAATAGCCGGGTGGGGTACTAATTCACCAAGGAAATAGTAGCCCAAGTGTCGAAATCGACCAAGCGAATTCGAGACTCTTCTCGGGATCTAAGAACCAAGCTTAGATCCGGAGGAAAATCGTGTAGATCTCAGATCCGGTCCCTCTCGAACACTTGCCTTGTTTGGCGTGGATGATCGCCGAGAACCGGATCTCAAAGTCCAAGTCTTCAATCTTCTAAAGCTCCAATCTTTTTTAGATCTCAGATTCCAATCCGGCAGAGCTTCGACCCTCCCAAAATCCAACCTTTTGAAATGAACAATGCCTTGGCCTATTTATAGGCACTCAGAACTGTGCATTTGCACAGTTCTGAGCCTAGCCACCTGTGGGTGGCTCGGCTCTTGGCCGAGCCACCCACAGGTGGCTCGGCCTTGGCCGAGCCACCTGCAGGTGGCTCGGCTTTGGCCGAGCCACCTGCACTTCGTCTTTCTCACGGGAATAGACTACCCGGCGACGCGTGTTAGGCGCTGACTTTAGGATTTTTGGCTAACCCCAAGCCTTTAACGGATTTGATTAACCTTTACCGACTACCGTTTGAGTCGGGCTAGCATGCGAATTGTCTAAATCCGTTCCGCATGTAACGTTGTGCTTAGAGACTGAATCCTCTAAGACTTGTTGCTATGACTTTGAATACATAGACTTCGCCGTTGTCATGGGAATAGGCTACCCAGCAACGTGTATTAAACGTTGACTTATCCCTCCTTAGGCTTCGGGATAAAATACCCCAGAATCGAACTCTGGTGTCTTTTTCTACGGGGAAAGACTAAACCGGCGACGCGTGTTAGGCGTCGGCATATCCTTTCTTAGGATTCAGGATGAAATTCCCCATGCGTGTAAGGCATGGATTTTGGTGTTATTAATAACAACCTGTCACAATGTTGAATATGTGAACGGGTGTTCTTTTTAAACGGTTAAGAACTGACCGGCAGCGCGTGTCAGGCGCAGACTTATCCTTGCTTAGGTTTCAGGATAGAATACCCCAGAATCGA